TGTAACAAAGATTATAAAGGTCAATTATGTCCTGCAGTCACCTCCGTAAACCCTTAGTCACTGAGGACATAATTTGAAGACGTATACAAACCCTATTTACACTGATGTAAATCACTGGAACTGTAGACACTTCTGCATTATGCATAAATAGAAAATGAACCTGGATTTCTCTTAACTGTTGTCTGTACGGCCTAACAAGAGTTAAGCACTTGCTTTTGATACTAAAGCAAGCAAACAGCTCTCTAATACACACAAGGAACAGTTCCGTAGATGTAGAGTAATGTAGTGCTATTTTTACATGATCGCTTTTCATAATAGAACTGCACTTGAAAACTAATCTGAAAAAATTTTCATATAGCTGAAACCTACAAATGATACTGCACTGTTTGAGCAACCTGTGAGGTAGACAGCTGATCTTTAAAAAAATAAATCAAGACTGCCAATAATCTTTGGTATAATGAAAGGTGACATGCCCTGTGTAGAGTAAACCTCCTAGCATTCCACATTTACTTACCTTCACATCAGATACAGAAAGTGCCAGTTAAATAAAGCAGCACTAGTTATCTTCATATCACATTTCAACTTTCCAATTTGTATTGAATGTTTTATTTACATAAAGTCTAACCATGAGTAGTCAGGTGGTCCATGTGATGTGTAAAGTAAGATAACAAGCAAGATATAAAAAACCTGGGGAAATAAATTATCTAAACTATATTACGTTGGGCTGACCCATTACCTTATTTTAGAAAGGTAAATAGAATTATGCAAGATCACCTACAGAATGAGCAACATTCATGACAAAAGCAAGAATACTAGCTTCATTCAGAACGGTCTTTGCAAGCAAACCAAGGATTATTTTTGCTCTTACTGATCCAAAAGCCATATGAACGACTTCAGTAAGTAATGCAAATAGGTACTTGCAAACATGAAGGACTTACCACTAGAAAAGGTTTTTCCCCCCCATTCTGCTGCTGGTAATAGCTCACCTTACCTGATCACTCTCGTTACAGTGTGTACGGTAACACCCATTGTTTCATGTGCTCTGTGTATATAAATCTTCCCACTGTATTTTCCACTGAATGCATCCGATGACATGAGCTATAGCTCACAAAAGCTTATGCTCAAATAAATTTGTTCGTCTCTAAGGTGCCACAAGTCCTCCTTTTCTTTTTACCACGAGGTGATCACTACATAAGTGTCCCCATACAACTCTGCTTATACTCCACTTTTGGCCTGTAATATTTCTGCCATATGTGAATGTCTTTGATGGGGATAAGTTTCCACTAGGGATTAGGAGACTAATAAACCCATTCTGAACATGACTAAAACACAAGACTACAAATCCAGAGACATTAACTCTGTCATGCTGTGTGACCTTGGTCAATCTCTGTCTGCATTTTACCAAATGTAAAAAGGGTGTTTTGGGTGACACTTACCTCATTTATAGCCATACTCCAAACATATATGTTTAATTTAAATAGAAAATAATCAGAGATCTCCCATTCAAACAAGGGGTTTGCTCTTAATCGAGTCACAATTTTTTTTGGTTAGTGATTGACACACATTGCAGTGAGAAAGACTGGATTCCAAACCACTTCTTTGTTGTCTTTAAGGACATTGACCACCAACTTACCACAGACTTCACTAATGCATGAATTACCAAATTGGAAATACAATACTACCTCTCTGGCTGAATGGTGCTTGTTACACAGCATATTTTTATTTGAGATTATTTTCTCAATCTGCTGTGCAAAGAACATGTAACACTGTATCTAACAAAATTTGTAAGTACTAATGCAAAGTGACTGATTATCCCATCCCTACTGCATTGTTCGACCTTTCTCGCTAATAAAACAACATTGAGTATCGCTGAAAAATGTTGTCCTCAAGTGACTTTTTAAGTTTCAGATATTTAAATTTGCATCTCAGAGTCCATTCTTCAAGTGCCATTTGTCCAAGATAAGCAGGGCTCCTCCAATCTACCTTTCAAATAAACATTGCCTTGCCAAATGTCTCAGAGCACAATAAGGCCCCCATTTACACTGCAAAAACAGTAGTATCAAAAGGAGCAGTAACAACACAGTTGTCCACTGACATGATTAAAGCACATTTCAGTTCAACAGTATAGATGGAACCTAAATGCTTAAAGTTCTATCTGAATTTCTAAAATGAGGAATCCTTTAACACTGTCAAGGACAATCATGTTCTCAACAGACACTGTTGTATTTCCAAAGTAAACTGTGTGTAAGTACTCTGAAAAAAGCTTCAAAAGTATTACCTTTTTTCTTATTTTGAAAGACTGTCAAAGGAAATATAAATTTTGGCTGTCCCATGGATTTAATAAGTTCACTTCCGTACTTCAACAGAGCCACAACTATCAGCCACCTGCTCTGGTTCATTCTACTGTAGACAGGCAACCTAATTTAATTGACGAAAACACCCTAACTACCTAGCAGAGTGATATAAAAAAGAGCATGCTGCCACTTGGTTAAATGAACTGGTAATACTGTAATCGAGGCACAATTACTCCTGAACAACTAGAGCACAAAATTTGCAATTCCCCAAGGACCATTCACTTCTTTCCACCTGACGCATGTCAAACACAGGCCGATTAAAAATAATGTATTGCTGTCCAACTTCATCCCCTCCCAATCACTGCCCATCTCTCCTTCACATAGAAGGGTTGAAACTGTCAGCCCGCAATAAAATGGCCTTTGAACAATAAGCCGTTGAGCTACAAACCACAAAATAATCTCTTCCTCAAGCCCACTCCAGTCATGAGTGCAAAACCACAACTTGGAAAGATCATTGGTGCTGAAAGCACTTCTACTGATTAAGTGTTTAGGCCACAAGATATGAATAAAATCGTGGATAATATTCCTATTTGAAATCATGGGTGATCCTGCGGATGGACACAGACCATTTAATGCTGTACGGTATTCCCCCCCTGCACCCATTTTGTCACTTTGTAAAACTCCTCAATAGTGCTATAAAACAAAACAAATATTTGTTCTGCATCTTCCCTGAGGTTCTTCCTCCCAGTGAAGTCAGAAGGTGTGTTGCGTATTACACTGCGACTAGTTTCCAATTTTACATTCAAGAAGCATCCCACTTTCTGTTCGGTTACAACTATAATCTCAATCACAAGAGTGCTCCCTATGTCCTCCAACACATGTGAGAAAGCCGCAGGATTTCTGAGCAAATGGAAGGTGACAGATGTTGGCAATTCCAACTCCTTATAGGAGCTAGGAAAGTGGGGAGGAAAGTGAAGGACTAAAATGCAATGGCCTAACACCACTGCAATGCAATATCAGGACTCTTTACCCTGATATGTGAGTCCACCTGATAACAAAATGGCTCTCCAGCTCTTCAAGTGAGAGTATGAGTGTTGTACACACAGAAATTGAAATTTTTATTTTAAACTGAAAACTACCAACAAGAACTGGTCAGAATTTCCTCAGTAAGCCATTTAAAAAAAACCCCAAACATACAAGGAGAGGGCAAGTCTCATTTAAACAGACTTTTGAAATAGGTAACATGTCTTTCACACAGTTTGCTGCAAATTATGGCTTGTATCATTTCCTCTTGATGCTTTCCACACTTTATTTCTTACTACCATGTAACCAATGTGGTAAGTGGCTTTTTCTTCTTGTGGTTAAAACAGTGTGTGGAAACAAAGGATCAAAACAAATGACCATTTTAAAAAATCTTGTTTTTTCTTTTCACTTACGTTTATTTCATTTTTAAACAAACAACCAGTTAAACATCCATTTATTTAATCATTTCAAATAAGCCTCTAAATGCTAATTATTATTGAAAGTTGCAAGGCGGTAAAAGTTAGCTAAAAATAAAAACTAAAAATGAACACCAACAGCAACTAACAACCGGAGTCCCTCTGCAGATCTTCTGCAGCCCACCCAGGCGCTCGCGGGTTGCCGGTCCCTGGGGAATAACCCGGGATACGCGGATGGCAGCCCGGGTAAGGGAAAGTGTGTCAGGATCAAGCTTTCGTTACTGTCAGGCGTGTAGCGATGACGGGGAGTGGGACCTACCTTCAGGGGAGCGCCGGCACCTGGGCTGAAGGACGCGGCACCGGGAAGGGGGCTCGCGGGTCCCGTGTCGGACAAGGAAGCAGCTTCCCGGCCTCCGCGCCGAGACGTGACACGTACACAGCAAAGCGGGGGGGGGGGGGAGGAAGCGGGCGCTGCTGCCCGGCTCCCCGCCCATTGCCCGCGAGCTGCGCCCTGCGCGGACAGCAGCCGCCGCTCGCCCCGGAGCGCAGCGCTAGGAACCGCCACCGCCCCCTGAGAGAGGCTTCCAGCACCTGGGCCAAGCACAGAGCGCTGCCCAGGCCCCCGCCACCTCCTCTCACCTGCCAGCGGCGCCGCTGCCCGGCCCTGCTCCGCGGTAGGCGGACGAGGGACAACTGCTGTCACGCCCGACGGGGAAAGGGACGGCTCTAGCGGGCAAAACAGGCTCCAGTGCCAACGGCTGCACCTGTATTTCTTCCTTCTCCGGCACCAGCGGCAGCCGGAAGTGCTTGGCCGGAAATGGGGCAGCGGTGGCCTCTCTATGGCCATGACGTAGGAAAGTTACTCTAGCCAACAATGTCCATTTCTATGGTGTCGCTACCTCCATGCAGCGCCCATAGCAACGACATCCGGAGCCCCGCCCTTCACCGGCTTCAGCGGCGGCCTGTGGGTTCGGCAGGGGACGGAAGCGGACTCCCGGTGCGGGACGTCCGGTGGCGGCTACTCCCGCACACCGTGAGCCCCTCCCCACCCCGCTCGGGGCAGCCGAGCAGGGAGCGCGGCGCAGCCCCAAGAGAAGAGCGGGGGCGGGCGGGGCTCCGGGGCGCTGGGTGTGCCCCGGGGGGTCTCTCGCTGACGCTCGGGGCGCGGGCGGGTTCCTGCCGGTGCATGTCGCCGCCCGGCTGCAGCGCTGGGCTCAGCCAGACTGAGCGGCGCCCCGACCGACAGGGCAGCGAGCGAGGTGCGCTGTCTCGCAGGGCCCGGCCGCTGCCCCGCGGGGGGCGCTGAGAGGCGCAGAGGTGTTAGACTCCCCGCCCTCTGGGTACCTGGTGGGCTGGGGGACACCGTGCCGGGGGAAGGGCCCTTGCTCCGCTCCCCAGCCAGGTAACAGCTGCTCTCGCTGCCTCTTCCCCCTTCCGTGTGTGGGGTCAGCGAGAGAGAGACACGAAGCGAAGATCCGTGTCCATTCAGTGGACAAGAGCGGTTACGTGGGGGCGTGTTTGTCCCGTTCGCAGTGTGGGCCCAGCTGCTGGAGGGCTCTCCAAGTCTCCAGGTTATTGTCAGCACCTTGAAGGACTCAAGTTGGCAACATGATAACATCCCTTTGACGCCCAAATGAAATCCAGGGGACCTGTGATTAGGTAAATGAAAGAAATTCTGCTAATGTGCTTCCTCTCTTCTTGTTTTAGTGGCCTGAGGTGAAGAAAACAGTTGGCCTCGAGGAAACCTGCTGCCAGCAGCGAAGTCTTTCCTAGGGTTTAGCATGAGAGCGGCTTTAGCACTATGGGATGGTCCTGCACAAAAAGAATAACAGACAGCTCTGCATCCATTAAAAAATATTGTTTGTCCATACAGGAAAGGGCACTGGAGGCCACTTTCTTATGGGCTATGTTCTCTTCTTTGAATTAGTTCCTAGGATTGGTCAAGGATTATAATGCACCAGAAATGAATCAGCAGCACTGAAAGGTTTTTATATCTATGTCAATGAAGTCATCCTCCCCCCCCCCTTGCTTTTCAGTCTTTGGGGGTGGGGGGCATGAGGGCAGTTTCCCAGAATGAACCTGAAAGGAACTTGTAATCATTGTGTTAATTTGTATAAATACTAACCTAGTTTTTAGACTCTTTCTAGATAAAGACATTCAAAGGAGACGTAAGAGAGGCTAAATTGCTATTAATGTACTGATAGTATCCAGGAAGATACCAGTGACTTTACCACATCAGCATTCACAATGTGAGGACTGTGACATCATATATATACTTGAAAACTAATCTAATTAAAGAAGCTGAGATCAGAAAGGACTAGAAAGAGTGTTTGTGTGTGTGCTTATTTGTAAAAGAGTACAGGATACCATGGCAGAGACTTCAGTGGATCGCTCGTCTTTACCTGTAAGAAGGAAAAAGAAAAGTTTATCCATTGAGGAAAAAATGGACATAATAAATGCTGTGGAAAGTGGCAAGAAAAAAGCAGACATTGCAGCAAAATACGGCATAAAGAAAAATTCATTGTCTTCAATTATGAAGAATAAAGATAAGGTTCTAGAAGCTTTTGAGTCCTTACGATTTGATCCTAAAAGAAAAAGACTAAGAACAGCTTTTTATACAGATCTGGAAGAGGCATTAATGAAGTGGTACAGAATTGCTCAGTGCTTGAATGTACCAGTAAATGGCCCAATGTTGCGTTTCAAAGCTAATAATTTTGCTCAGAAATTTGGACATAGTGATTTTAAGTGCAGTAATGGCTGGCTTGATCGTTTTAAATCAAGATATGGTTTAGTATTCAGGTCTCAGTCTACAGAACCTGTGGCTACTACAGCAGATACTTTAACTGTTTGGTACCAAAATGTTCTTCCTTATTATTTAAATGATTATCAGCCAAAAAATGTGTTTAATGTAAAGGAGACGGGATTGTTTTATCGGATGTTACCTAATAATACTTTTGCATTTAAGGGGGAAACTTGTTCTGTTGGCAAACTAAGCAGAGAGAGAATAACTGTAGTGATTGGAACAAATATGGATGGCTCTGAGAAACTTCCTTTGCTTGTTATTGGCAAAAATAAAAATCCGCACTGCTTTAAAGATGTGAAGTCGCTGCCTGTGGATTATGAGGCAAATGATATGGCATGGATGACCTCAGAAGTGTTTGAACAATGGATGCATAAACTTGATGAAAGATTTCAAGCACAGCAGCGGCGAGTAGTATTTTTTGTTGACTCTTTCCCAGCTCACTCAGAGGTAAAGAATCTAAAGTCTATTGAACTGGTGTTCTTTCCTCCATGCTCATCATCCAAATTTATAGCTATGAAACAGGGAGTTATAAGAAGTCTGAAAGTCAAATACAGGCATCGTCTTATCAAGAGATTTATAGACTGCGTAGAAGGTAGTAAAGAGTTTACATTGACTCTACTGGATGCAGTTGATATGTTGCACCTATGCTGGAGGAATGTAACTCCAGAGACTGTTGTTAAAAGTTACAAAGAAGCAGGATTCAAATCACAAACAGGGGAAAATGGTGACACAGACAGAGAGATTGAAAGTGGTTTAGATTTGATTGCACATGCATTGGCAGCTGGGGTAGAGTTTCCAGGTTTATCTTTGGAGGAATATGCAGCTTTGGATGATGACTTGGTAACATGTGAAATGCCCACAAATAATGAAATGATATGGACCAAAGAAACCGCTTCAGTTAAAACTGATATGTTTGTTTATGATGAAGAGGAAGAGGAAGGTGATGGATGTCCAGGAATTGAACAGCCTTTGCCATCAAAAAATGAGGCTCTGACTGCTTTAGATACTCTTCGAAGGTTTCTCAGAAGTCAAGACATGAATGAGTCTCTTCATAATTCCCTAGCAGATCTAGATAATTTTATTCAGCGTGTAGCATCTAAATGAGGGTTTATCCAAGTATGAAAGCATTTAAATGGAAAAACTAGTTTTTAGCCAGTTAAAAACCAAATAAAAACCTGTGGCACAGTTCTGTGGTTTGCTTTGCAAACATATGTAGGTATGACAAATACAATTTAAAATAATGGAGCTCTGAACTGAGGTCTTCCAAGTATATGGGGATGATAAACTAAAATTGGGTGGGAAGAGGGGTAACCAACCTTTGCGTATTCTTGGGCCTTTTAACTTGATAACTGTGGAAGGTACAAGAAAAGTAAAAAATGATTTTCCAGGTCATAACTTGAGGCAGATATTGAACTGGCAGTTTGTTCCCTTTTTATTGATTCTCTCTCTCTCTTTCACACTCACACACACAGAGTTCCACTGAAGTTAGTGGAAGTTCGTATTGTATTTCAATTGTATTTCAATAAAGGACTTTTACTCTGTTTTAAAATACAAACAAAAAAAAAGTTTGATCTCTTAGATTACTAAGGCTTTTTTAAATATAGAACTTTCTTCTTGTTAAAGAATCCTAGTGATGATACGTAGATATCAGAATTTGTTTTTTAAATGAAACTGTGGAAAATGGGTGCTTGTTTTATTTTTAAAAGATATGTTTGATCTGGATCTATATTAATAGCACCAATGTTTAAACAAATAAAAACAAATTTGATTCTATTTGATGGATTGTACATCCGAGTTCAAAATGGAGACCCATTTCAATCTTTTGATATCTGAAATTTGGGTTTGATGTAGACCCTTCTATACTATGTACTTCTATATTTTTCTGTGATAAATAGAACAATTTAGGATTAGTTTATACAGTATCTGCATTTTAAATCTCACAAAACTCTTGCTTTTACTGTAGTTAGTAACAGTATTGATCTAAACCAAGTAAAGTACGTATTTGTGAAATATGTAGTATGGAGGCTTTATCTAAACTAGGATTTTATGCACCAGTGCAAACTCATAATGTGCATGTGGTTTGAATTGGTGCAATTTACAATGTGGTAAATTACATTGCGCTCCTAAACTGAGCCCAGAGTAAAGTGCAGCTACATGAGTAGCCAAAATCCCACTGTAGATGAGGTCTAGCATTTGTAAAAGTTAAAAACAAAATGTTCATTTTTAAGCATATTGTAGATATATTTATTACTTTATCAAAATATTCATATTTTTAAAGTCAATAACTTTTACGTTTTTCTGATTTTGAGAAAATACTATATTTTACAGGAGCACTTTAGAAAACCTAAGTTATATAGAATCTATTGCTGGAGCTAGTATCTAAACCTTACTCCATGTTTTTTTAAAATTCTTGGTATTTAAATGTGCTGTTTCGAAATTAATAGTTTGAGTAAGACTATATTTATGTTACATTTATAGGATTCTGTATCCAATTGTAAATACAATGTTCTCTGGTAGCAGGGATGTATCAAAATGTTACCTTACAAATCATGATGTTCCTTTTCATGTGACAGATTTCCTATGGCTAAATTTTATGAATCTTTCATGAGAATTGTTATCTACAACAATATTAATTATCTACTTTTTGGTTTCTTGTTACAAAATGACTAAGAGTTCTATCAAAAATATAATTGGGCTCTTTTTCTGAATGACAAATACAGTCAACATCTTACCCAGAGATTTATAGATTATGTGGAAAATGCATCCTGCTCCATCATCCTCTTAGAATGCTGTTGGAAGAATATAGATTTTTGTGGCTTGTAAATTGGGAGGATCGGTTGTGTCAGTCACTAAATGCTTTAGACCCAACATTTAGAAAACATTACTTCTTATGCAAGCTAAGGCTATTTTAAAGCTACAGAAAATGAAATGTTAAATACCATAAAACCTGGGACTAATTTTCCTTTAATATTATTATGATTTGAAGCTTGTCAAATACTTTGATATATGTTTACTTTAGTGTGGCTCCAATTAAAGCAAAATCCCAGTGGTCTTGATCCTGCAAGCCAATCTACCGAGCAGACCCTGCAGCTGTGACCCATTGATGTCAGGGGGTCTCCAGGTGGGTGCAGGGACCACATGCTTGAAATACCTGGCTAACTAAGGAACCTGACCTTGCTTCCTTCTAAGTCAATGGCAAAATTTGCATTAACTAAATGGAGCAGGCTTGCACACTAAATAGTGAAGATGAATTATCTTTATTGCCAGATGTAATAAGTGAGGGATGTAAAGGGGGCATGAACGCAACAGAATTTTTATTAACCCAAGGTCTTGTAGAATAGTTGCAATCTTTCTAAACCAATTTAGAAGATCAGGAGAAACTGAAATAAGCAGGTCTGTGAACACCTAAACAAGCAAAGATAACTGACAGCAAGAGGCACTATAATAATGTTTTACTGAAATAATTTTATGCAGAATAGTAGCCTAGTAGCTCTTATAATTATAATTGGGATTTTTGCTATTTTGTGCAGGGGTAATGTGTGACCGTGGGAAATATCAGAAATTCAGGGACTTGAAAAGTCTGAGTTTATTCATGCTAACAAAACAAGGCAGGAGCAAGAAATAACTTACTACTTTGGCCTTAGACATTGAAAGTGAATTGTAAAACTTTCATTTAAAAAAACCTCTCAAGATTCCATATTTTTGATATAATTTAGAACTCAATATTTTCAAACCTCTTTTTTCATGTTGAGGCCAGCTAGAGAACTCTTACATTGAAATATTTTTGAAGTTAACCACATTAGGCTTGAGTAAAATTTTCAAAAGTACCTAATTGACTTAAGAGCCAAAGTCCCATTTGAAAATGAGACTCAAACTTTTAAGTCAGATGCTTTGGAAAATTTTACTCTTGCTCTCAGAACACCAGCCAACACAAAAGTGAGACTGCTGCCACTGCCTAGCAACAGACTAGAAGCAGAACTTGCCAATCAAACTGAACAAATTTATTGTCATTTCATTTCTGTTCACTTTTTAAAGTCTTTCATATAGTAAAATCTCCACTGTTCACTAGTGTATGTAGACTTAAAAATTACAAATATTTGTTTTCAAATAATTTGAGATTCTGTATTGAAACTTAAAACAGATTCAGCTGTTGTGTCAAGTGGCTGTAATATGATCAACTGTTTCAGCAGGAAAATATTTTTCGAGTCTTGAGTGGTAATGGTGAAAAAGGAATTTGAATATGTAAGTATATTTTTAACTTTAGTCCACATACACACTCATGTATGGATATATTTTAAATTGCTTAATGTAAATCTGCCAAGCACAAAAAGACTCTTCATTTTAAAAAGGGGAGAGGATGAAGGGAATTGTGGCTTCAAACTGAAAAATGTTTGAAATTTTGAACATTTATATAAAAGGCAGTTTGCTTGACTGGTCATTCTCTCTATTAGGCTACTATTTTATATATTTGTACATTTATTCCTCCATAGTCATCCTCTTGCTTTAGCCTTCCATGAGTTGATGATTTTGTACTGTGAGATTGCACTTTTCAATTAAAAAAAATCAGGTCTGCCACAGTCAGTACCATATCCTCACTGGTAGTCAGGTAAGAAGGGAAAGGGAGCAATCTTAAGAACATAATTTCAATAACTTGCAAACAAGGCCAGAAAAATAAGAAAAAAAAGTAAAGGTATGTTTGATATACTTGAAAGCCTTCTCCAGCTTAAAAGTCCATTGTTTAAACTGGGTGTTTCAAGTTAAATTTACTATCTAAGACCACATCCGCAGTAGAAAATTTTAGTAAAAATAACCCATTGGGGGGATTTTATTCTTGTGGCACATTTCTGCAAGGTTCTGAGAGGTTCTAAGAATGCACAACTCCCTTTGAAGTTACTGGGACTTGAGGATAGACATCAATATCTGGACTCTAATGCTTATGGGAAATTACTTGGAGAAATTTTCTGTGCATCCAGGGATCAGCAAAACAGAGTGAAGCAGCTTGTTTGAGAAATGTAGCCATATGCTCCCATGTACAGAGAGATGTAATATTCTGACAGCTAGGTAAGCTGGAAGTAATAGATCAGTAGTACTGGTTTTTATTATATATTAGCATATATAAGTCTTGAGAGCCACTTTTTTAAAGGTACAAAATTTTGTCCATTATGTTTTTAGTTGAAAAATACTACAAATTGTTAGTCCTGATGTGTACAGTAGAAAACATCACTTATATGCAAGTATAGATTTGAGTGACCTTGATATAGTTTTTCTGTGTTTTTTCTGAGGCACTGAAAAAGGAGATAGTTCAAGTATTTTACCTGTATTTTACACCAAAACCTCACTAAATTTGTCGCTGTGATTACTCGTGTTCTCAACTGTAAATTAGTTTAAATTGTAACAACCACTAAACATTCTCAACATTGGGCTTAAGAGAAATGTTGAACACGTGCTGAGTACCCTGAAGCCTACTTCTGTAGCCTTGAACAAAATGCAGGGAAATAGCTGTTTTATTGCTGATGCTGTTGAAATTTGGAAGGAACTGAGTGAGATCTGAAAAAGAGAAATATGCAACAACAGAGTTAAATTACAAGCATTAAAAGAACGAATGGGACAAGCATGATCTCCAGCTCATTTTCTTGTCAATATTCTCAATACTTGGTACCAGGGTCAAACCTTAACTGCTGAAGAAGAGGAGTTGGCTATGACATGGACATCCAGCAATCATCCGTCCATAATGCCAATTATAATAAACTTCAGAGGTAAGGGTGAACCATTCAAGAAATATGTTTGCTGATGATGTTTTAAAGAAAGTCCCACTAGTGAACTGTTGAAAGTCACTTAAGCACTTGGATTCAGAGACTGTTGAAGTGATAATCTCACTTTTAACAGCAGTAGCTTCTTCTGCTGGTATAGAAAGAATATTTTCTTCCTTTGGACTAATTCATTCCAAATTGAGAAATCGTTTGGGACCTGAAAGAGCAGGAAAGATTGTTTTTCTTTTCCAGATTATGAACAAACAGGAAAATGAAGGCGAAGACGACTGACTTAGCTGCAGAAGCCAATATTTTAAGTTTCTCATGTTGACTTGGCTGACAGTCGATTTAATTTTTGTTTTGTTTTTTTAAATTCTTTTAATTATTTTAGTTAAAAACAATTTTCACAAAAACAAACCTGATTTTGAAAAACTTGAATGTTTAACTAAATTCAAAAATTCATATGCTTGTTTTGTTAAAATATGTTTGCTGTTGAAGAAAAAAATCCAGAAGACGTAACATTGTTTTAGTTAAATAAAACAATTTAAATGTCTGTCTGGTGGTGTTCTCTTCCTAATACAACATGGCAAGAAAATCCTCCAAATATTAATGATAAACCTGTTGAGTTGGAGATAGTTCACCTCCCAATGATTTCATAAATATCTGCTTGAATTATCTTTGGTAAATGAAATAACCAAACAATCATTCATTTTCTAATATAGCTGTAAAACTAATCTGAAAAGTTTTCAAAATAAATCACTTTAAAAATGTATAGTGTGTACCTTCTAAAAATGAAACCTACATCTATCTCTGGGTTGTGAAGAAAATGTATTAAGGTTATAACAACCAACAAGAATGCACTTTTATGTAGAAATCCATGATTAAATCGAGTCTTCCTGACTAGTGATTTAAATCAAATCCACCCTGAAATGAACAAGGTAAAGAAATAATATTTGTGGTGCTGGTGGAAACTAAATTAGATTTTTCAAACTCCACTTCTAGTGAGCTTGATGCTGTCAGTTGCACATATAAGGAAATGTGGGTTTTTGTTTTAAATACGTTATCTCTGTTTTTCACTGTTCGTGTCATTGACATTATAAAGGTCGAATTTTCTCAAGTAGTAAAATCTTTTAAAATCACATTCTCTCAGTAAACCTAGCTGTCCTACAAAAACCCAATATCCTGTCCAGACTGTTATGTGAGCAGTATGGTTTTCCAGCCACACCTTAAGTAGCTGAAGATAAACTTAGAGTCCCAAAATAATATTGCTTAAATGTTTCTTGATTCTTTTTTAGATCATGGTATTTCTCACTTGATCCTCCCATCTACAACCCTGAACTCAAAACAGCTCAACTTTTTTTTTCCTTTGCCTACAGCCAATTCCATATTAAGTACTGCACTATACTACATAGGCAAACAGGGTTACAACTATAAATAAATTAGATATTAAGAGTCAGATTTTTAAAGGTATTTAGACACCTAAAAATCTGATTCTACGGGCCTAATTCTTCTACTGTTACTTAAATTGAGTGGTATCTTACCCATGAGTAGTCCCTTTGAAATCAAGGGGAAATACCTCAAAAGTAAGGCCCTAATCCTGCAAAGACTTGTGTATTTAAATTTAAACATGCAAGTAGTCCCACAGGGTTAACTGAGGCAGAAGTCTTTTGGAAAAAGTAGTGTGTGATCATGTAATTAAAGACTATCATAATCCACATAGGAGTTGAATTAAGATAGCACAGATAACTTTGAATCTGGCATTTCCAAACTTTCAAATGCTTGATTACATAAGTTAAAGCCCTCACTTAGGAAAGCATTCCTTTTCAGTAAAGCATCTAAACATGTGCTTTAAGCACATACTTCAGTCCCTAAGACTTAAACATAATACTATTATTATTTAGCACTGCTACAATGATTTTCAGAGACACAAACAAGCATTTAACCTGAGGATCCTCAATACAACCCTACAAAGGGGTGAACATTATTTTTCGCATATTACAGATCAGGAATCTGACCCAACTACTTTTTAAGATGGACTCATTCTATTTCAATCTTTGTCATTAACCTTCAAGGTAGTAGTATCATAAAAATGATCAGAAATGGCTGAAAATTTATTTCCAAATTGTATTATAAAAATCTTAGGTTGCTTGTAAATTAATGAATGAATGTGCTTTGTGTAGTTATAAAATTCAAATGTAAAAGTGTCTGCCACCTAAAAGCTGGAGAGACTCTGAAGCTTCTGGCTTTATCTGAAATTACAGGCTTTGTTGAAAAACATCACCTGAAGTTGTACTTGGGAGTTGTTTGCACCACATCAATTTTAGCCCAGTGTTCTTCTCATGTAAAGATGGACCTAAGCTCGTGTGGATTTCAATACTAGTAGTCGTGGAACGTCACAGACTAGTGGGATACATTTGTGTGCTAAAAACACGCTGGTTCAGAACAAGGTATTGTTTGTAACTATTGTCCGTCACGTAATAAGGATATGTTTCCAAAGTGAACAAATAATGACAAGGCTCTGCACTCAAATGAAAACTCTTCATTGTTTTAGAAATCTGCCTCTAGCCAATGTTGGTCTTTTGCACACTGGAGATCTCTTTAAAAAAAAAAAAAAAGTAATTCACTAGCGTGAGATTATTAGCCCAAGTAAATGAGCCTCCAGAAGAGAATATATTTCAGAACAACATTGGTGCTATAATACAACATGGAAACAGTTTATCTCTGTCTGTTTTAAGATTTTGTAGAGTATCAAAATGTGACGCTGCTAGGCATGATACCAGCTCTTGCTCAGGCTACAGGCATTAGCTAAGAACTAGCAAACCCATAGCTGGAGACCAGACCAGTTCACCTGTATGCTAGTTTTGCTCATAATAAGTATTAGTCTTAAAAGAATATTTAGTGTTTGGACTCTATGGGATGCTTGTAAGTTGCTGCATGCATTAATGTCACTTACAGCATGGAATACTGACATGACAAGAAAATATGTAAGTTTTGCTTTATAACTTGAAAATGTTTGCTCTGAACTTGTGAATTTAGGCACAGGGATCATCCCACCGTCCATCCAGAAGGACTATGAAAATCAGATGGGCCATCAAGGAACATCACAATACAAAAGATTAGTTAAGGGCAGTGGCACCACCAGCAGCAGTGCAGAAGTAAGGATGGCATGGTATGGTATTGCCACCCTTACTGCTGCACTACTTCTGGCAGGGCACTGACTTCAGAGCTGGGTGCCTGGCCAGTAGCTGCCACTTTCTGGCCACCCAGCTCTGACGGCAGCACAGAAGTAAAGGTGGCAATATCGTGACCCCCCCCCTACAATAACCTTGCAATCCGCTCCCATGACTGCCTTTTGGGTCAGGACCCCCCGTTTGAGTAATACTGGTCTCCACTGTGAAATCTGTATAGTATAGGGTGAAAGTACACAAAAGACTAGATTTCACAGCAGAGATCAGATTTCACAATCCGTGATGCGTTTTTCACGGCCATGAATTTGGTAGGGCCCCAGTTATATAGCATCAATGGTGTGCAACAGTACAGAATCCTCTTAAGGAACCAGTCAATGCAATGCAATTTTATTGAAAATGAAGAGGGATCCATTCCATCTCCACATTAGTGACATTAATGCATGCAGCAACTTACAAGCATCCCATAGAGTCCCAACACTAAATATTTTTATAAGACTAATACACTATACGCTAAGACACTATACATTTTAGCCAAAGGCTTTTCATGTATAATTGCAAACAAGTCTGCCACAGTTCTGAAGCTTGTCACAGATTCAGCTGTTAGTACTCAATGAGGCTAACAGAATAATATTGCAATGAACTGGTTTGTTGAATTGTGGAATTTTTTTATTCTGCTAACCTCTTTCTAAGAGAATGAGTCAAACAAATTTACTTTTTAGTAGCCGCTCTGAATCCTTCATTTTCCAGAGCATTAGAAAAAGTTCAGGGCAAACCGCTGATAACCACGGGGCTAATGTGTATATACCATTGGCGTCTACTGGATGGAACTAGCATGGATTAACTGTGTCATAAGCACTAATACTGTTAACAATAAAAGTAGCCTCTCACTTCATTCAAATCATATGGACCCCACTTCATTTTAGCAGGAAGATCTGAGTTATAAACCACTTGTCATGGTAAAGTACCAAGTGGCCGTGATGTGCAGCATAATGATAATTATGATTTCCTAGGAGGCCATAGATTCATTGCAGTATGGTTCTAATGACATTCCAAATCCCAACAGAAAATTCATCCTCACGAATGCAGCATACGCCAAGCTAAAATTCAAGGACAAGTAGCACTAAGATATGCAGAGATAGTACTTTTAGCCTAGAGTGTTGCTGTTACATTGTTAGAGGCATCTACTCTGTGAATATTGCCTGGGGATTGAAAATCAGGATGGACAAATTGGTTAGAAAAAAAGAAGAGCCGTGAATCTTATTACATACCCGATCTGAACCCAAACCATTTAGATTAAATTAAGTAAGGATCCACCTTCTTGCTATTCCTAATATTGATTCCATTACTTTCTTCTTCTCTGGGTATGTCTAAGCTGGA